CAATGTTTACGTTTTTATAGGCAGTCTTTCTTTTAAAACAATAAAGATTCCTCACCAGCTGGAAACACTTTCACTCTCCATTCCTTCCGTTTTGGAGCCGCCCCGACCTCATCAGCCTTGGCTGGAATTTTTGTCACCAGCTTGAAGAACTTCTCTTGCTTCTTTTGGGGATTTTGCGATATTTCCAAGATCAGCAAGACGTATTCCTCCTGTTCACTGTCTCTTCGGGACAGTTTAGATCTGTTTGGACCCCTCCAGTGGCAAAACGGTCGACTGTGATCTCAGAGCATTGAGATCGCACGGTGTGTGGTCGCAACTTCGGCCCCGCCTTCAAATGAGGCTGAGTCAGTCTTGAGCCTGGTGAAATTCGAATTGCCAAATTGCAGGCAGCTGGCAGTCAGCAGAAGTAGCCTGCAATACTGCATTCTAACTACTGTGCCACTGTTATATTATAGTTATAATATAAATCAGTGTTTTTCAAAGTTGTCATCTTATAAGATGTGTAGACTTTACACTGTCAGGGGAATTCTGGAAGTTGAAGTCCACACATCTTAACATTGGCAAGTTGTAAAAAACACTGGCATAAATAAGAGAAGATTGTATGTAGTCATGATCTAACTTGATTTTTAAATAGATGTATTTATGTGTCTAAAAGAATATTGAAACAATTTTTTCTCTTTCTTTATAGAACGGCCTTCCTGACACTCAAGCCAAGTTCCATATTATGTTTTTGTTCTTTGCAGCAGCTATGTTTTCAATTAGCTTATCCTCTCTCTTTGGTTATCATTGCTGGTTGGTCAGTAAGAATAAATCAACTTTAGGTAAGGAATTAGAATTTTATTTTGTCAACAAACCATGCTATCCCTTGAGAGTACTATTTTTAAAATGTTAAATAATGTAACAATTTTTTATAGAGGCCTTCCGGGCACCTGTTTTTCGACATGGAACAGATAAAAATGCATTTAATTTGGGCTTCAGCAAAAACCTAAGGGAAGTCTTTGGAGATGAGAAAAAGTACTGGCTGTTGCCAATTTTTACCAGGTGAGTTCCGCATTTAAGAGAGCATTGTTTCCCCATTAAACTATGTGAGCTAAATACTTTTTAAAATGAAAACTTAAGCTATTGAGTACTGTTTGCTTATGTATATGTTTTTTAATCAATTTTCAGCCTAGGAGATGGATGCTCTTTTCCTACCTGCCTTGTTAACCAAGATATTGAACAAGCTTCTACTCCTGCAGGACACAATGCAAATAAAAAGTATGCCATTATTATTATTATTATTATTATTATTATTATTATTATTGTTATTGTTATTGTTATTG